ACGCATTTCGGAGTCCTGGTTCCCGTGCCAGCGAGCCACCTCCAATATGTTCAAAGCGGTCGCCTTGCCTTTCGGAGCCAACAGCGCGTACTTGCGAGCGAGCTGGTTGTCGCGGAGACTAGGCGCGACGGCCCGAGGCTCAGCGATCGGCGCCGAGTCGAGCATAGCGTAAGACTGAAGACGTAGGAGGAGAGGGAGAGAGAGGGAATATACAAGGCAGAGGGCGGGCGACGGTGCGGACAGAGGGGTCTCGCACGGTACGGCACCGACGTACCAGGGAACCGAACCCAGGGTCGAAAGGGCCGGGGCGGCACGGAGGCACAAACCTACCAGCAAGACGTAGCGGCACGCAGGCACAGGCTAGTCCCCAGTGACGTAAGTATATTGACAAGTACGAAGATACAGATAGTAACTCACCTAGTCCCCAGTGACGTAAGAGGTCGAGATGGGGACTAGGGGCTAAAGGGCTCTACTCTATATACCTGTAGACCGGTGCACAGACCATGTAGCTATTTGTACGTATTTGGCACGACCAGAGGCTTGAGGGCTTAGGTACTAGGCACGAGTCAGAGGGGTGTATGTCGTACTAACTACTGTGGGGTGATCCTTATCTAATCTAACGATCGTGAGGCCATGAGGGAGGGAGCGTGGTGGCGGTGCATTGCCGGGGGTATGTAGACGCTTAGACAGAGCGCCAGGAACCTGGATGCCGACGTGAGGCTGCACGTGGCGAACATCGTGGTGCTGCTGGAAAAGGGCGCTGTATAGAACGCTGGTGGGCTTGGAGGGGGGAACGGCGGATTCCGAGGTGTTGTTGGCGCTGAGAGGTGAGAGTCCCGGTCCGTACGGTTGGAGAAAGGCAGGCAGAGGGTGTCATGGGCGCTATGCGGAGCGCGGCCGTGACAAACGGGTCGTTTGGGAGTTAGGTCGAGACCCTCCTTTGCTTTCTTCACTCCTGTCTTTCCAAACTGCCGGTTCCAGAACCACCAGTATATTTGCTAGCAAGCTAGGTGAGTACAGGTCACCAAACCGGAGATGTAGTGACTCACGTCTTTTCGTTTTTTGAACGTGACCCCACCAGGTCCTGTAACTTCCCCGCTGCCATCCTTGCTGATTTCTACCGTAGAAGACTGGAGAACGCCGGGCCAAAACTTGTTGAAATAGCCCTGGTATGTTGCATTGAGGAATTGCGCACTCGTCTCATTGGCACGCGCGACACGAAAACCGGGAAGCTGCTCGAGTAACCACTCGGTTTCTTCCTGGGTGGACCACGGACTGCGTCCCATTGCACCAAGGCGTAGAAGGGCCAGAAGGAGTGTGATCAAAGGAGTGGGGACGTCATGAATTCTGTGGAGGATGGACGGGATGAGATGGACGGGTGGGTCGACAGTCAGGGAGTGTCCTCATTTTGGAATATCCGCAGATTTTCAGGGGTAGCTGTGTCAGGCCCCACCATGTGTGCGTGTATTTTCCTATCAGTCTCGGGGCTATGATATGAGCTGACTTGCCGCACATCACAAACTTGCTCCCCGGTCCCAACTTCGTCCATTTGTCCACGCTCCCATGTTGTCAAGAGACGCTATGCAATGTAAGCTACAACGATTTCACTCAAAGGCCGCCAGTTATTTCGCTGACAGTTTTCTCAGAGAGGATAGAACCAGGCTGCCTGACCTGGCCGATCACAAAACGGCCTGGCCCGATCTGCCTGCGCCCAATCGCACTCGTTTCATGCGTCTGGCTCCGCTCCGAGCCGTTGCCACCGACCAGGAAGATCCATATGGCCGTCGCAACATCGACCCCGTTCGCTGGTTGTGTTTTCGTGATGTACTGTAATTTTGCATAATGGCAGTACTTAGTATATTGGTCCATAAGATGTCTCGCACACTCAGAAGACTGTACTTGCTGACTGGATGAGGACAACTATATTTCTGAAAGAGGTTCTGACATACCCGGTGTCCAGGACCACCAGAGGCGCTTGTCTTCGGTGACAATCCCTGGAGACATCCAGGTGTTCACGCAACTTAAGGAAGGAGTACATTAGTCTTCGGGAATTTCCCGGAGGTGACAATTCGGAGGCCCAAGACGTCGCAATGATGACTGCAACAGTGCAAACATCAGCTACTGCCAAAGGATTGCTACGTGAACGGATCCCAGTCCGGAACAACACCAGCGACTTTTTGGAACAGAGTCCTTTTGTTTAGAGAGCTGGATAGATGTGCGATTAGAAGCTGAGACTAGGAAACATCATACATAGCTGTCTGCAGGTCAATGCTCCTACAGAGGATCCTGCCTACATCGGAACTATATTCCTATAGAGTATCCGCGGTACATCAGATGCAATGTTTATTTGATTCTAGCCGTCTCTCATTGGAGCCTGTGTATTCAGAAATTTGGCGTTGTATCGAAGTAAGGAGTTATTCATAGAGTCGAACATGTCAGAGATATACAGCGAGGGAGTATGTTCGGAATGCAATGCAACAGGCTACTTGAATAGTGAATTCAGGGACATGGTCAGCAGCTGGCTCGGAAGCGAGCGCACGCTGTGTAGTATATCTGGATGTTATTCACAGATTCCGAACGCATCATCTTTACAATATACATCGCACCCATATGAACAATATCTATACTATTTTTGCGTCTCGAGTTCAATGCCTTGAGAATTGTTATCTTAGAGGAGCAATGTGCATAGGGTGGACCGACACAAGTGCTCGGTGTTCCGTGCGCCTCAGCGCTTGTCACCGCTCGTTCTCGCATATATCGGACACACTTACCTCTAACCTAAAAGCTGTATATCCCAGGAAATTCAGGATGCCCAGCAATGGAGGCAAGAGAAAAGATTCTTCGGGGCAGAAGCCTCGGAGAACTAAGAAAGCGCGTTTCAAAGACGTCGAGGACGGGACCTCCAGCAGCCATGCGGCAACAAGCGGGTCCGTGGATGTTCAAACAGTTCACATATACACGTCTACAAGCGGGAGGCTTAGCCAGAAAGCTCAGACCAAGCAAGTTGTCGTAGATCCCGCCGAGCTCGTGTTCAGAAAGCCTGGGTCGGAGGAAAGTCAGGCGGCAGCTACCTCGCTCGATTCCGCTTATGGGATCGACTCCACTACTCTCGCACAGGATGACTATGATGGACACGGAGTTGAAACAAACCTAGACGAGTCGTCTCAAAGAAGAGAACGGCCGGACTTGCTTGCTGTAGTATGTTATAGTCTCATATATTTTCCTAGTGGCAGACTGACTCAATGTCGACGCAGAGTAAGCTCCTGGAGTGGCTCCCTTTCCGGGCTGACTTTCTGGATGAGCTACTGCGCTTTGAAGGGTGCGAGGAGTACATAGAAGACGGGAATGTGCTCTGTTCGATTTGCACAGAAAACTTCGCGACAGTGCGATGCCGCGACTGTGCTCGACGACCACTATGCTGTGAGTCTTGTCTTAGGACGAGGCATGCAGACATGCCTTTGCATCGGATTGAGGTACATTCGCTTCACTTCCATCACTACACAATCCGCGCTTTTGCTCATGTTCTGAGTAGAAGTGGGATGGCGCAAAATTCTTGCAGTGTTCGTTGCGAGATATCGGTCTCATTGTCCAACTAGGACATGACCAAGGTACTTGCGCACACCCGGCTGAACAGCCTCGTCGCATTATTGTAGGCCATACTTCTGGTGTCCAGGCAGTCAGTGTTCGCTTCTGCGAGTGCCTTGATGACAACTGTCACTTCATGCCAGAGTGGTGCCAACTCTTCCGGTTTGGGTGGTTCCCCGCCAGTACACACTCCCCGGCGACCACATTCACCTTTGACCTTCTCGATACGTTCCAAGAGCTCAGCTTTCAAGGGAAGACAAATCTCTTCGACTTCTGGCGGACTATAGAACATATAACTGACAATTCTGGCGGGCACGATGTCTTTGTGAGGGCTTCTGCTTCCCACAACTACTGCACGCGCAATAGGGGACGCTGACTGCTTTTTCACAGGACTGCTACAAGCAGCTATCACACACAATGAGAATATGGCACCACCTAGTTATGTTGAAGCGATTTGGGCGGGCGCATGATCCTGCCGGACCAGATGCGATGAAGCCGGGAGAGCTGGTGGTTGAATGTCCAGCATGTCCGCATCCGGGTCGTAATATTCTGCCAGATTGGGAAGCCGCGCCGCCCGATGTCAAGTCAGTATCATATTTCAAACCGAGTACGAATATTACTAATGATGTTTTATTAGATGGCTATACACCCTGTTCCTTATGATTGATGTGAACTTCCAAGCGAAATCGAAGGATTGTGGCCTCAATGACATTGAGCTTTCCACCGGATGGGCTTACTACGTCGAAGAGACAAAATATCAGGCCCATGTCAAGGCTGCACGCGCACGCAAACGCAAAGAGGTAAAGTGCTTACTCTCTCCTCGGTCCAAGGTGCCCGAACGCTTACCTCAAAGGAGCGCAGCTGTACTCGTGCTCAGCCGAGCATAGTGCCTTGCTCAAGGCCAATCAACGTCGCGAGGGGTATCTCGCATCTGGTCTGGGTGCGGTTCTATGCGCCCGACATGGCTTGGTCCGAAAAAATGGGGCGGGTGATCTGCAGCTGGGCGAGGGGTAAATGATGATTTCTGATGTCCATGTGTGTATCTACTCACGGCAAATTACTTATCCTAGATATGCAAATATGGATTACCTTTATTTCTCAACGCTCCTTGGTGTCATATTGGTAATTCTAATCTCATATGACATTGTTTGCCAGTGGTACAAGAACTTGTTTTCCCGCATAATTGAAGACTTCCCAGAAGACATGTGGATCGATCAATCGCGGTGGTACAACATCCGCTATGCGATTCCAAAGAAACATTGGAAAGTCCACGGGTCAAATCCCAGTCATTCGCACTTTTCGCTCAAGCGATACCGAGATGCTCGTGGCGCCCTCCTGGTTCTAGACCCAGAGGGTAGTTGGACCGACACTTACAAGATTCTACAAGACGGTGACCTCCATGGCCCTCGGAGCGATGACCCTACGGAGAGTTTCGGCCGCTATACTGTTAGCTGGATCTGGCTCACTCCCCGTGCAAATCCAAATGACACCGCGGACACCCAAGACACCACAAGCCCTGAACGTGCTCACGAGTTTCAAGTAAGTATGCGTCTTGAATGGGCGCAGGCTAAGGCTCGCGCGGAACGGTGGCGAGAGAACGAACGGTTGGTTCTCGAAGAGATGCGCCAGGTAATCGAGTTCTGCGGTGACAGGGCGGCATGGTGGCGACGTCAGAAGCGTCGTAGGTCTGATATTGACCCCGCCCTTCAGAGAGGGCTGTCAATATATGCTAAGAAGCAAGCAGCCGTCTCTGGAAACTTGGCCGCAAGGTGCGCCTCCTTTTGGGTCAACTATCTCAAAAAACTCGGCCCGCTTCCTTCTTGGATAGCCCCATACAAGGAAGACGGACGCAAAGTACGTCCGAGGAAATTCAAGTCCGCGCCGGGCGAGGATCCGCATGCGAGCGAGGAAGAAAATGCTTTGGAAGTCGAGGAAGTGGAAGATGACAAGGACGTAGAATAAGCAAATGCATTGCGTACCAGATATCTACCATTTGATAGTATTGTATACCTGCCGGAAGGTTCGAAACAGTCACACACTGGAGGGAAAATATGTCCTGAGGTCAATGGCTGTAAACATGTCCGATGACCATGTCTTAACACTGACAATCCCCTGGATTATATTATATAGGTACAAGGATTGGGAAATACACATCCCAGCTTCCCTGAGCCATAGAGTGGGCTACCAAAGGGGAGAGAAGACGAGGGCAAGGAGCTTCTGAGACGTCAATACCAGAGGCGGAACCGCCTAGGACCTATGTACACATGGTAATAGGGATAGTTGGGGTACGAGATATAGAACTACAAGGGAAGTGCACGAAGTGGGCAGTACATGAGGAGACATGGAGAGCGTGAGCGCAGTGAACATGGAGAAATGAAGGGCCTCAGTTAACGGCGGGAGCCGATCCAAGGAGTAAACTATGAGATAGTATGCAAAACAAGATCGGAAGGGGGAGAAAAGACAGTTTCAACGCGAATGACACGTACCATTGACCTTAAGCCTCCATGCTCAATGCTCTTTCAGACGATCCTGAATCTCCAAGTGCCCGGTCACGTGAGCATGAAGGTCATGTATTCCAAAGTCAATGTGCGGTCGTCCAGGTGAGTAAATACGGTGCAAGGGTGTCGAGTAGGGATGAGGAGAGACGATGGAGGGAGAAAAATGCCCACCGGATGATCAGGACGTCTGTTACGTGAGCGTTGACAGGAGAGCACGGATCACCAGCGCCTCGCACTCTTCCAAATCGGGCAACCAACTTGTCCAATTAGGCCGGTCACGTCGGGCGAATCTTGAGGCCACTCTGTTGTGCGGAAATTGGTGGGTTCATCAGGCTAGTAGACAGGTGGGACTGAAAGAGGTCAAAACGCGTGAGGACGCGTCGAGTCGGGGCAGGGCAGTACCTGAAAGTTGCATGAGCACTAGCTTTCCAAGAGCGGAAGTCGTGCACGCATTCTAGAAGGCTCAATTGCGGCTACAAGCCTTCACAAGCCTCTGACGATCACTATTGGGCGTTCTTCGTTACAGCATATCACAAGGGAGTATCGTACAATACCTAACAGTAGCTGTTCCCTCTGATTTACAAACTTCGACAGAGATGCATATACTTTTCTCTTTACAATATATCACAGGACCGCACATGTCCTGTATTTCTACAAGCAGCTACAAGGGCAATCGCAACGCATCAGGAAAACGTCACGGACTTCGACCCATACTTGGGCCCAAGTTCATGTACTTGGACTCAAGTCCATGTACTTGGCCCCAAGTCCGTGTACTTGGTCCCAAGTACACGGACTTGACTCAAGTCTATATACTTGGGGTACTTGGGGTACTTGGGCCACAACTTGGACTTTACATGTTGACTTCAGTATACTCAGGCCTCAATTTGAGCAATTGGTGTTCTATCAGTCACACATCTTGTATACTTCTTATGTAATAATATCTATCATAGACATCCATACACTAGTTGTAAACCAGTCTGTTTTAAGGTAGAAGCAGCTTTATAGTCTATTAGAAGAAGGGCAATAACATGTGATAGAAGACTTTAAGTTATTACAATGTGCTTGTTTCAGTAGTGATACAGAGGTACAATATCCAGATAATGATCAAGAATAGTGGTATCAGTGGTGGATGTCCAAGTTCTGCTATGGTACAGGAGAGGATGGTGAAGAATTTCTCGGAGTCCAGCAAAGAGCGCTATATATCGCTGCTATTCTGTGCTACAGTGTTAGCTTCTGTAGTGTAGTGGTTGAACATGATGTGTTGGACACTGAAATTGCAGGTTGCTGGTTCAATTCCCTGTGGTGGCATTTTTTTTGCCGCCGCTGCACCCACTAACAAATATTGTACACTTGACCTTAATCAAGAGCAGCTGTCCTTTGATTTACTTCCATGCATATCATCTTTATTCAATACATCTCACAGTGAACTTGGGCGTGAACTTGAATAGGGACTTGGAGGACTTGGCCAAGTACCTGGTACTTGGCCAAGTCGACCCACCCGACTTGGCCAAGTCCATTGGACTTGGGGTACTTGAGGTACTTGGGATACTTGAGGTACTTGGCCAAG